GCGGAGCCGCCTCCCTCCGGCGGGGCTCGGCCGGGAGCCGCGGGCAGAGCCGCCTTAAGGTGGCGCCGCTGCCCCCGCGCGCCCCGCCCGGCGCCCGCGCCCCCGCGCGCCGCGGCCCAGACCCCCGTCCCCGCGCCCTTGGCCCGCGGGGAAACTGAGGCTGACGGCCAGGCCCAGGGCTCCCGCCCCCGACGAGGAAACGACCGACACCGGCCGCCCCCGCCCCGTGGGGAGGGCGCCGGTCTGGGGTCAGCAATGGCTTTTCCCAGGCAGTGACATTGGGCTCAGATTGAAGGGTCAGGAGGAGGGTCTGGCCAAGGGGAGGCAGGAACACCTGCCAGGGAAGGACAGAGCCAGGCTCCACTGCCCAGCAGGTCAGCCCCTGGCCCGTCTGGGCCTCGCTGCTCCTCTGGAAGGTAGGGGCTCAGCTGGGCGTTGAGCTGCTCTGGCCCCTGTGCCTGGCTGGCAAGGGGAGCCAGCCAGCTCTGCGCAGAGACTCCCCTCCTGGGCCATCCAGGGAGCCCTCACTCGGCTCACCTGCCAGTGGGGAGTCCTTGCTCCCATCTTGTCTATGAGACCCTGAGCCCATTAAGTCAGTCAGCAAACACACCAAGAGCCTACTGTGCTGGGCCGTCCTGGTCCACAGCGCCTCCGGGGACAGGGGGCTAGGCACCGGCACTGTGTAGGGGAGCCCCCTGTTGCTGTTGGACCTCTGGGCAGGTAAGCAGCGGAAGGGCACCGGATCCCCTGCACACAGGCCTCCTCTTTCAACAGATAGGTATGACATGGTGCCAAGTGCCCTTCCAGGCACAGGGACCCAGGGTGAAGAAGGGCAGATCCCAGCCCTGTCGGACTGAGCTCAGAGACCAGCTGCTGACCACACAGAATCCAGCCTGGAAATCCTAAAACTGTGTGTGTAAAAGGGAAGAATGGGGCGCAGTATGTCCGGGCGAGGGCTCATTGAAAGGCTACTATCCAAGACTGTACCCCAAGGATAAAGTCGGCCACGGAAGGGCGAGGAAGAGAGGTCCTGGGTCCACAAAATGAGGGTGTGCTGGAGTGTTCGGTGGCTCCCTGCTGCCATCAAAATCGGATTTTGCACGATGGCACACTCCAGGATGGCAAGTTGGAGACCAGCCTGAGCAACTTACTGAGTCCTGTCTCAAAATAAGTGAAACGGGCTGGGATTGTGGCTCAGTGGTAGAGCACCGTGGGTTCCATCCCCAGTGCCAAGAAGTAAAAGAAATCCACAATCCGGGTCTGGGGGTGCAGCTCAGCGGGAGAGCGCTGGCTGGGCATGCATGAGGCCCTGGGTTTGATCCCCAGCACCACAAAGATAAAGAAATAATCAAATCCAAACTCCACTCCCTTCCACAGTGGGCTCAAAATAAAAAAAGGGGCTAAAACCCTCAGCCCTTTCTCCCTCCATGACCCCAACCCCTGGTCTGCTCCATACTCCAAGCACCGCCAGCCCCCGGGCCTGTGCACTTGGCTGTTCCTCAGCGGGTCACTCTCCGCTGGCTTCTCGTGGGCATTTTCAGTGCTGGGGATGCAACCCCGGCCTGCAGGCCTGGCAGGCTCTATCCCAGCTGCGCCCGGCCCTGGACTTGCTGCTCAGAAAGGCCCCTCCTAACCTTCCTGCAGCCTGCGGGCCCCACCACCTGTTCCCTGAGCCCCGCCCCTTGCTGTCTCCCCACCCCAGGCTGTGTGGGGACTGGACACTCCTGGCCCTCAGCGGCCTGGCATGAAGCAAGCTTGAGGCAAGTCCAGAGGCGTGGGCAGGCGGTGGGGAAGGAGTGACCTGTGGGCTGCAGCGCCGCATTGCCCTGCTGCCCTGCCCCACAGGGCCCCTGACGCCAAGAGTGCGTGCTTCCAGGCTCCTGGTTCCAAACGCTTTCCAGGACATGTCCTCCTCCCCTGGGACACCAACAGTGCCCCCCGGGACCCTGAGTCCAGATGGTGTCCCCAGCCCTCTTCACCTGCCCCCGCAGCCCCTTGGCTTCTCGGGGCCTCCCTCCCTCAGCCTCTGCCCAAATGCCTCTAGCTCGGGGTGCAGCCCCCTTTCCTTTGGCTGTGCTGAGGGGACCCAGGCCTCACGCGGGGCCCTGCTCATTCACTTTGAGGAGGCCTCACTGAGTTGCCCAGGCTGGCCTCGGAGTGCCGCCTGCCCCAGCCTCCCGAGTGGCTGAGACGAGCAGCGGTCCCGGGCCGGGCTCGGGCCTTTCCCTGAGGCTCCTCTGGGTTCTGCTGGGCGCAGCCTCACCTCTTGCCCCTCACCTGTCCCTGATGCCTCGGGACCTGTGGCCCTCTTTCCTCTCCAGGCACAGGGCGCTTTCCTTCCTTAGTCTGGTCACCTGAAAGTCACCTTGGCCTGTGCCTCAGGGACCCCATTTTCCCCTTGAGGCTTTAGTAACCACCTCCCGAGGATGGCTCTAGATCTGGCTCCACCCCAGATCCGACCCTGGGAGACCCTGGCCTGTGGGCCCAGCCACCAACTGGACATCTCCCCTGGGTGTCCCTAGGCCGGTTCCTGACCCTGTCAGCCCCTCAGCCCACCCCCATACTCTGAGGCCGAGGTCCACCTGCCCCGTGACCCCTCCTCCCCACCCCGGCCAGTCCCACCCCTCCCTGCTGGCTGGCTCCTCTCCAGTCCCACCAGACACCTCCTCCCACCAGCACCTCCCTCTGGGCTGTCAATCTCAGCCTGGCCCCCTCACTCCCACGTCCCACAGCTCCCTATTGCTCCGGGGGACCAATCGCCAGGGCCTTTGGCCACTTAGCCCCGCCCCCTCCACCAATGCGCACCGCCTGCTCCAGCCACCTGGGCCCGATTGATTCCCTAACTTGTCCCCACTCAGGGTCTTTCCTGGGGCTGTTACCTCTTCCTGGAATTCCCCCTCCTTCCTCTACTGCCTAGAGATGTGCATCCTTCCTAGGCCCCTCAAACGCCTCTCCTCCAGGCAGCACCTCCAAAACCACCCCCAGCCTCCGGTCTCCCCTCCTGGTGTTGGTGTACAAGTGGACATTTATTCTAGAACCACCTCCTCACACTGCAGGACGCTGGCACCCTAGGGAGGACCCTGCCCCAGGTCTTGCCAGGCAGGAGCTTCCGGGATGGGTGGAGGGAAGGGAACAGAACTGAACACACGCATGGTTCCCAGGCCCGGAGTCGGAGCTAGGAGGAAAGAGCCAGGGCTGAAGGGACCGGGGAGGGCGCAGCTTCCTGAAGCAGGGCTTTGTGCCCACCAGCGCCTGGATCCCTCAGCGGCACACTGCACAGCGAGGGTAAGTACAGGCTTGTGGATTGCCTGGGAGGCACAAGACCACACGCACCCCATCTCTTGGTGTGCATGAGCTGCCAGGAAGGAGGAGCAGTTGCTCTGAGCTGCAGCGTCCCCACCCTGGAGAGCCGCGGATGGGACGTGGGGAGGCTCGGCTGAGCCAAGCCTGTGAGAGGCGTGGGGATTCGGGTGACTGCGAAGTCCCTGAAATGCACATTCGGCCAGACTCGGAAGCAAGAAAAGACTCGCAAGGCAGGGAGTTAACAGCCTGCACAGTTTCTAGCACAATCTTTCCCCAGCCAACCCTATCCAGGGACTTCAAGCCCCACCTCCTGGGTCTCAGTCTCCCCATCTGCAAAATGAGTGCTGGGAGCTGTGAAATGGAGAAGGGGGTTTGGCTTCCAATCTCTCTCCTCCCGCTATACAGAAAGACTCAGCCCCTGTTTCCTGGCTGAGTTTTTATGATGTGGATGTGGGGTTTTTTTTTAAAAAGGAAAAAGCTGAGAAGCAGCGCTGGGACCCTGGATTGCTCAGACCACCTTAAATCAGCCTCACCGCCCCAGCTACTGTGGAAATTCCTTTCTCCACGGTGGTTGGCTGAGCGCGCCAGCCAATCCATCCGCGGCGCTCCCACATGGGTCCGTGACGTCACAATGGGCGCTGGCCAATGGGCACCTGGATGCCAGCGACCAATGGCAGGAGGCTGTGAGATCGACTGGGCCAATGGGAAGGCGGCTAGGCTCTCCCCGCGGGGTGTGGCGAGTGTAGTTCCCCCTCCCTAGGCGGAGCAGAGACCCTCGTGGACCACCGAGCCCGGCTTGGGTGCAGGGGGTGTCTGGCTTGACTGTCCCCCAAAACGGAGTAGCGAGTTATTCTCTAAGCCTGGCAGGTCTCCCCTTAAAAACAAAGCTCCCTCGCCCAACTTGCTACTTGGGCGAAGCCCGGGCGCCTCCGAGGCAGAGGCGGTGCCTTTCGCCCCATTTCACAGATAGGTAAACCGAGGCAGGGAGCGGCGAAGTCTCGCGAGACGCCCCAGGGACGAGTCCAGACTCTACCCGAGCCTGGAGGTCCCGGGCATCAGCTCGGCTTTATCCCCAGGAGGGCAGCGGCGGGGGGCCTACAGCTGTAGGCGGGGCGCGGGGTGCCGGCGCGGCCTCAGTTTCCCCCGAGCAGGCCGCGGGGGCCGAGAGCGGGGCTTCTCGGGGAGGACTACGAGCCCCAGAAGCTCGCGCGCGGCGCCGGCCCAGGCTGTCAATCAAAGTAACGTGGGTCCCTTCCCTCCCGCGCCCCCGCCCGCGCCCGCCTCCTGCCAG